TGTCTCCTCAGTGAGTCTCCTGTCTATCGTCATTCACTTCTAGATATCTGTTGGTCCATAATTTCTTGTTTGACTCATTGCCAGAGTTCCTTGTCACTAGGCGTTAATCGCCATTTGACCTTCATTATGAAGTTAAGACAGCCTCTGATGAAGATATTCAGCCTTTTGGTAACGTTGAGTCTTCAAACCATACGGAAGCACTAACTGACTTGACATCAGTGTTCAGAATCTGAATCTTGTTCCTTATGCTGAGTGCATATTTCAGATTTCCACATTGATTTCAGAGTAATAACCACCTGTCTTGCTTCAACAATCTCAGTCTGTTTTGAAATCCTTATCCATGCTTATATATATACATATATATTATCTTTTTTATTTTTGATTACAGCTTGATTCTACACTGTATTTTTGGTACAAGTATGAAATTTTCAGCATGGATATCGGTAGCCCAAATTTTGCAGGCTGACCATAGATATGAGGTGTTCGTCGGCAGGGGATCGAACCTCGGATCATGTGCATGGTCAGCGAGAGTCCTAACCACTGTGCCACCGATGCACAAAGCGTGTGTCGGAGGTGGGATTCGAACCCACGCCCACATCGCGGACCAGAACACCCAGAAGATTACTCTTGAGTCTGGCGCCTTAGACCGCTCCACCACCCCGACCTCCATATATATATATATATATATATATATAGACAGAGAGAGAGAATATATAATCTTCATAAGTCACTTAAAGTTTATTTGTATTAAACCAACATTATGATTGACATATGAGTACAAATTAAGCGTTTTTCGCTGTCCATTTTATTTGAACCCTATAATAGTTGACTCTTTCCTATTAAATCAATAATTAATCATAATAACGCATAATATAATCAAAGTGAAACTAAGAGCAAATTAACGACCGGATGTTACAACTGGTAGCGGTTAAATCAAATTCCTTATTTGAGTTCAAAGTTGACCTTAAAATTAATATTCATTCACAATCATAACTGTTATAATCGGCCAATATAATATTGGTAGAGTAGTTTTGGTTTAGACTCAAACTCTCCTTTTCGTGATAAGTCTTTCTGTCTTTTCATAATTTCAATAAAACACAACATACATCCGGCTCAAACTTATAACTATGATCATGAAAAACAATGCTCGTCAGAAAATAAAATAATCAAATGTTTGTTGTGTTTTCATGTACAATGATTTAAATGCTTGGTTTATAGAATACCTTATATATATTCCTCTATCGAAACTGTTCATAAATTTATACGTAGACATTAATTTATCTTTACATCAGTGCTACAATTTATTATATATTTATTTTTTCCTTCTCGTTCTCAGTGGAACATGGGGCTTCAAGCTAGAGGCTTGAAGTTTCTGCACCAGTAAAATTTCTGACTTAGCGAGGTAAAGAAGTGCGTCGGTTGGGGATCGAATCCCGGACCATATGCATAGTCGGCGAGTGTCATAATCACTGTGCCACCAAGGCACTTATTATATCTGATTAAGTATTATATGAGTAGCTAGGATAGACAACTGAAGCTTTAGTCATTTCGACAAGTAATTCAATCTAAAATGATAATTCTTTGTAGTATGAATAAGACAACTCCAAACTAGAAACATCACTAATTGAAAGCACTAGAGAATAGTCGTAGTAGGGGTTAGAGTTTATTTATCAACACTATATCATTGAAATGAACACTGAATAATCATTCTTCACAGATAGCATGTTATCTTCGAAACAATTGGACAGTGACTGCCTGCAAAGCTAAAAAAAAATCACGAAGTGATAGAAGTTAGAATTCATGGATCATTGGACTCCATCTCAATGGCTGAATAGTCGATAAGCTCACATCGTAACCTGAAGGTCCTGGGGATCAAACAGTTGTTCAGTACCCCATAATTTACACCTGTGCTATAACTGACATCAATCTCTGATCGAATATGAGACCAATGGAATTTTTCAACAACTAACAGTTGAAAACTAAATCAGATAATTAGCATTTATAAACTTCTGATGTGGTCTAAACCGGTTCTTGAAATATATATATTATCAAACAGCAGTCAACCAGATTTTTAACCAATATAAGTATATACAACTAACAAATTATAATAAAATACTAATAGTAGTAGGAGGCCGTGACGAGTAGAGTACAGCAGGTTGAAGATGAGGTAGTAACTCATCGAAGAAGACATTGCGAAGTGGTCACGCTATGTCGTGTGAATTAGAAGAAGTTAGAATTCATGCACTGGCCATTGGATCGGGTCCCAGTGGCTCAGTGGTCTACGAGTTAGCTAGCCTTATAACCAGAAGGTCCTGGGTTCAAACCCTGTTGGTCGGTGCGTACTGATGATGAAGAGTCCCAAACTAGGACTGAGGAAAGAGCTGTCCAGTGCTCCCAGTGGTTCTCTAACTGATGTCAGCTCATGGTAAAATCCTCCATGTAATCAAAACAAAATCCCTACCAAAAAAACCAATACTTGAATATATAGAAAATATTCAAAATTGGGGAATAGCTCTTCACAAGAAACTCATTTATTCTATTATACTATATGAATTGTTTTTAGTCCTTATGAAATAAGCAGCTACAATTTAGATCACTGCTTGAATATATATATATATATATATATATATATATATATATATATATAACACCCTAATGAAGGCGTATAATAACTGGTAAGGAGAAGATATCAAAGAAACTGTAGATCATCAAAGAAACCTTATCATCTGTAAACTATTTCTGTAGTTAACTGACTGACACGAACATATTTTAAGTGTAAATAAATTTGAAAATAATAAAAAAAAGAGATAGTTACACCCTTCAGAATATTTTTATGCTTTGTTCACAATGGGAGGAGACTGAGAGATTTTGTTAGAAAAAAAAATAAATAAAGGAAAAGAGAAAAGACAAAGCCAAAGGAGATAGTTAGCAATTAAGCCAAAATGTGGATTATCAGCATACATTTTCCAAAGTATATTTATGTCTATCAGTCATCTCAATGAGTATGTATATTCAAAAAAATTATTATTTAAGTGTTATATAAGTGGTTTAATTAAATTTTGAATAATGACTTTTCATGCGATATAATATATCTACTACTGAAATCAATCTGACTGAAAATATACTCATTAAATATTAAATTATTAAGAGGTTTCAGTTGAGATTTCGTCACGAATTAAATTCATTTAGGAAATAATTCAAAATCAGGAAGCATTGGATAAATGTCTCCTCATACCATCGGTGAACAGTCTCTAGGTCTTTAAGTTACGTGACCAGCTTGTTGACGATTCAGTTATTGGGTTGAAATTTAATGACCCTTGTGTTCTATTATTATTATTATTTGTTGTTATCTCCTGTGATTCCAAGTGGAGCATGGGGCTTTAGCACCATACCTCCATTTCATCATGTTCTTTGCAGTCTTTTTTGGGTGGTTCCACAGTTGCCCACAACCCTTGATTTTCATGTTATCCTCAGACTCTTAACTTGTCATTTTCTATTATAGTTCCGCTTGAGACTCTAGCGAGAGATGTCACTGATTCAGTATGCAGTAAAAGCGGTGATTTTTATAACACGCCAAGTTTCTAAATCATATAGAAGCACTGATTTGACATTAGGATTAAAGATATAGATCTTTTTCTTTATGCTTAGCTCGGCTTTACAACTTCAAGAATACACATCCAGTCGTGATATGAAGTCATGTCCAGTAGGGGCCACCATGTTAAGCTGAATTGAATAATAATCGATAGCATTTGGTTGGTTAGAATTCAAGGTTCACTACTGAATTCTAGCCCAATTGGTTTTATAGTCAACAAGGTTGGCTTTATGACCTGAGGGTTACAGGGTTAATCCCCGGTGATGTTGTGGATACACAGATGCTGTAGAGTCCCGAACTAGAAAGAAACAGTTGTTCAGTGCCTCCTGGTTTTCAATGTCTCCTTAACTAGTGTTGGTTTGTGATGAAATCTCCATGGAAATTATTTCAAATCCCTACTATACACATAATACATTGAATAAAGAAGCATTAGATTTATTCATTTTACCAAAAAATTTGATGAATAGTAAAAAGTACCATTTGTTGATTTTATGATATAAACTGTATTCTATAGATACTTTTTTTTAATTAACACAAGCCTTAAACAGATGAAGAATAATGAAAAGCTGTTCCACTTTGATTTAAAATATCTCATTGGTGTCCCTCTGTGTTGTCAGTAGGAAAAAAACTATTTTAAAAATCAATCATTATCAGAACTAGTTAAAATCAATTCGACTAATAATGTAGTGTGTATTTTATCTTATTTGCTATCCCTACTAACCATTGTAATTGTGCAAACAATTCACTGAAAAGTTGGTATTTCACAAATAATCTTTGATATATCACTTTATCATATTATTGTTATTATTATATCGTTTAATTCCTAGAGGAACATAGGGCTTCAGCTGCGCATCTCCATTGCCTTCGGTTTTCTGCCAACTTTTTCACCCCACTCCAAGTCTGCCCACATGTTTTCATCTCCTCTTCACATGACCTCCTCAAAGTCACCCTCGCTCTGATGACCAACTCGCCGCTTCCCTTTCGGGTTTCACTCGAGCAGTGGCTTGTCTAGTGATGTTACTTAATGGTTTCCTCAGCGTATGGCCAATCCATCTCCATTTCATCCTGCCTATTTGTTTCACAATCGGTTCCTGGTTGGTTCGCTCCCAGAGATCCCTGTTAGTGATCTTTTCTGGCCGACCATCTGATCTTGAGTACTGAGCAAAGACGACTGTTGATGAAGGTGTGAAGTTTGTTTGAGATGCTGTTTATGACGCTCCAAGTCTCTGATTCGTATAGTAGCACTGACTTCACATTAGAGTTGAAAATCCCGATTTTATTTTTGATGGTGAGTGCTGTTGACCTCCACACAGATTTGAGAGTAATGAAAGCTTGTCTTGCTTTTCCGATCCTTGCTTTGATATCCTCATCAGTTCTGTCCGCCTGTAGTTGAAACAATGCTTCGCAGGTAGGTTGGTGGCTAAAGGAGGTTGTTTCTTTCAGACTCCTCCCATTTATGCTGACTGATTGCTGTCTGTTGTTGTTGCCGCTGTTGGTGTTGGCCAGGAATCCTCATCACCTCTGTTTTCTCTATGTTCACCTGTAGTCCTAGCTTTGATGCTTCTTCTGTCAGCTTGTTGCTTGCATATCTTCCAGTTTGTGGGAAATCAGACATATATCATCGACGAAGTCCAGATCCTCCAAGTCTTTTGTGTGAGTCCATTTTATGCCTGTCCCCTCGTTGGTTGCCGTTGTCTGTCGCATTATCCAATCTACTGCAATCAGGAAGATCATTGGTGATAATAGACAGCCTTGCCTCACTCCCGTCCTCACTTCAAAGGCTTTTGTAAGTTTCCCGTTGTGGATTACTTGGCATGTAGCATTGGCGTATAACTGTTGGATGAGATATATAATTGTCGATGGCACCCCGTAGTAGCGAAGTAGTTGCCAAATCACCTCTCGATCAACGCTGTCGAAGGTCTTTTCAAAGTCGATGAAGTTGATTGAGGTGGAGAGGTGACTGCCATTCCAAGCTTTGTTTAATGATGACCCGTAGTGGGGCGATTTGATCGATGTATAACGTTAGAGGAGATAAAACATAGGTCTTGTGTACTTTTGTCAATATAGTCATAATGCATTTGAATAAATGGAAAGAGTTATAAAATCGATGACAACTAAGTCAACTAATACTTTCACAACTGAATGATTTAGAAAAAACAACAACATAACTATTGTTTATTAACAGACATCTAAACTTAAATTACAATTTGGTAAATTATGTACTGTGCGTCGGTGGCACATCGGTTAGGACGCTCGCCGACCATGCACATGGTCCGGGGTTCGATCCCCGGCCACTGACTCACTCCTTTACCTCGCTAAGCCAGAAATAATGCTGGTAAAGAGGAAAGGTTGGGCATGAGGCTAGCAACTACCTCCTGTAAAATAAATACTGCTACAGAAACTTCAAGCCACTAGCTTGAAGCCCTATGTTCCACTGGTAACGAGAAGGAAAAAAAACATTATGTACAGCATACAAATGCTGAAAAAACTCAAAGGAACTATAATCAATGAAAATAAATGTATGTAGGAAAGAATACACATGCACGGAGAATTTTATGGATCTAAAAGTTTAGAAAAATGAATGCATTTATGCTATTGAGAACGATTTTGATTCAAGTCACCAAGTCTTTGATTATTGATTCTTAGTGTTTTGAGAATCCCAACTAGACAGTTCACGCTTTTCAAATGATTAGAACCAACAGTCAAAGACTTTATGAATTGATGCCATATTCAGGTTTGACTGCTTTTAACTCTTCTCCAACTAAGTCCTATATTACCCCATCGATTGACTTGTCCCCCTTACCTAAACTTAATATTACTCACTATATTATACCACTTAACACAGCCAAGAGAGTGATAAAGTCTCATAGGCTCGGTAGTAATTATGACTTCGTTTCAAAATTCATCCTATTCAAGGAATAGTTGTCTACATGAAGCGATCTGCTAAGTGAAGCGTGATGTCCAATTTCACTAGAATAATAAAATTCAAGGCAACTTTAGCCACCTTTAACATGAATCCGTGCATCAGTGGCACAGCTGTATAATGCTCGCCAACCAGGTAGGTGGTCCGGTCGATGCACTCTTAAACCTCGCTAAGCCAGTAATAAGACTGGTAAAGAGGGAAGGTTGGGTATGAGGCTAACAACCCTATCCTGTAGAAATAAACACCACCGCTACCGAAACTTCAGGTCTCTAGCTTGAAGCCGTATATTCCACTGGGAACGTAAAGGAATGAATTTGAGATGGGTCGAGATGTTACTCCATTGGTGAGACTACAGGAAAAATAAACCTAAGGATATTTAGCTTAGCAGGTAAGTCTTTAGTATCCTTCACATACTATTTTTGCAAAACGGTTTTAAGTTTTCAGTAGAAGGATTAACGCAGTTACAAGATTGCTTGATTCACATAATGTGACCCATGGAGATGAATTATTACTGGGGATTATACTATATACACCAGAATATATTAGGGATTAAAATTTATGTCCCTGACTAAAGCAAGCGCTACTGACGGTTTAAGACATTAGTTGACTGCATAAATTTCACGAGTTAATTCTACAAACTCCCATCTCGGTCAGATTAATTTCTTTATTGCGTTTCACTTTCTGGGGATTCTAAGATACAGAGACCTTGAATTTCTAAAAATTCACACCAGCGAAATGAACCACATACAAAATATATCCTTTCAGTAAGTAATTAATTTTTATATTTAGTTTTACTGACATCTGTCTGCCGTTACACACATTATTCAATCTGATCATCTGGGTATTTATTAATTAACCAAATTGGTTAGGTGTTTCCCAAAATGAAACTCTAAGTATTTCGCTTTTCATCAACAATATATGTCTCAAGTTTAATAATCCCGCTTTATAAATTAATGATTAATAGGATAGTAAATTACCTTTTAGTACTTCTTATGCTTTTATTAATGATGACCATTTAAAGACAAAACTCCTATATTCATATTATCAATCATGAATGAAACATAACTCAATAATTACACGCACTTTTTAATAATAGTATTTATTATACCAGGAATAATGATACTGCCTAGCAACATAAGATTTGGTAGGTTATGCAGTATTTGAACTCATGATCTGCAATAAGCAACAACTCCACTTAAATCATAAAATACATCAGTAATCAATAGTTAGATCATGGGTTTTGGAGGGATTCCAGTTACATTTAATGCAGATTTAATCCCGAACAAAAATCAATATTTGTGGATAATTCTTAGATATATGCTAGTTTGTAGGGATTTGATTGATTTCAAGTTAGGTCTTAAACTGATTTTAGTGACCGGACTGAGGAAAAAAGTAAAGAGTACTAGACAGCTGTTTCGTCCCACTTAGAGACTCTTAAATAGTACGTCTCCCACAGAGGTTGAACCCTTCAATGACTCTCTAACCAATGTTGGTTCATGACAAAATCTACATCGAATATAATCCTAAACCCTACGAAACCTATAATCTAAATAACTTCCAGATTGTTGGATGTTGCTGGGTTGATATCCTGAAGTTGTTGCTATTCAATTCTGCTATGTCAACGCGAAATGGATAGTCACAGGTAGCATTATATCACGAAATGATATAGGTAGAACCCAGGGTTTATTGGATTTCGACCAAAATGGCTGGATGGTCAATAAGGTTTGTTTTGTAACCTGAAGGTCTCAAGGTCAATCGTTGGAGAAAGCAACTGAAGAGTCCCAAACTGGAGAGGGACAGTTGTCCACTGCTTCTCTATCTTAAGTAGGTTCTCAACGAAACCTACATTTCGATAGTTAAATTGAATTCAACATAATTCAATAAGACTTCTCGACTTCAACGATTCGCTCTAACTAACGTCAATAGTTAGTGACAAAATTCACCTTAAAGTCAAGCGAATCAATGTAAGCTCAACAAATGAATTATCTGATAAAATTATATCAACAGAGCAGAAAAAAAGACAAGACTAGATTATTCTATATCATTTATATTACTAATGATGTTTGCAAAATTATTATTATCATTATTATTATATTTATTTTTTTTGCCAACACAGGCAGAAACTTCATTGTGAAACATGACAAGGAATAAAGATAAAATCACAAGTGTTAAAATTACTTTCAGTTTCCTTTTCAAAGTTTATTTTATTGCAACTTGATGTAAAATTCTTTTTGAGTATTTATATAATATAATATGAATTATGCAGACCTGGTGAATTGCAAAAAGAAACAGGTTGATTTGTGTGTGTGTTGTTTTAAATCGTACCTCCTCCAAAACATACTTGACAAATATAGATGGATAAAAGAAGATTATATAATAGTGTTCGTCTCTTCGGATGTCACAAAAAAAGACACACAAACACCCACACCCACACACACACACATAACTGAACACAAAAAATGAAGAGACATCAACTGAGTGTCAACCAAAGTCAGAAAGCCTAGAACACATACATGTTGCATTGTCAATAATACATAACTCCAAGTAAATGTCATAAGTTAATATTTTGTTTTAGAAACAAAACTCTTCCCCCCCCGCCACAAAAAATCGTTTACTCTTTATACTAAAGTTAAAAAGGAGAGGAGTAATACAAAGAAAGTAGTGGATTGACAAATGTATTATATATATATATCGACAAAAAGCTAGCTTTGGAAAGAAATCGATAAGGGATACGAGGACAAAGAAGTGGGGTGTGTATGTCTGTTGAGGGGGTGGGGTGGGGTCAAGCTCTTTCCTTCTTTCACTGTAATGATACGCGTGATAGAGAAAACAAAAAACACCCCTAGGACAACGGCAAAACAGGAAACAAAAGTTAACAACAACAAAAAAAAACAAATTACTAAACTGGAGTATTGCAAATTAAGACTGTAAACAGCACGAAAGTAGTAGTAGTAGTACCAGTCTTATAGCAAAAAAAGGAGATAGAAGGAAACAACGCAGAAGAAAATGAATACAAATTCCCAACGAGAGAAACGTTTTTTTCTAAAATTGTTTTTCAAATAAACATGTGACATACACAATATCTGTAATGTTTTTGTGTGTGAAAACATGGAACTTGTAGCCAGCATTTTCGACAGCAAAAAAAAGAAGGGAGAGAGAGAGAGAGAAGACAACAGTAACACTCTTTTCTTTGAATAACCCGGAGTATTATTTTCTTCAAGTGTTTTGAGAAGGAGAAAAACTTCTTAGAAGAGAGTTTTGTGTCATTGTATTTGTGTCTACTACTTTTGAATAGAAATACACATGAAAAAGAGAAAGCTGTTGTCAACATTATCATTATCATAACCGGGCATATAAACAATTCAATTAATTATAATATTAATATTTTATGTGTGACATACAAGACTACTTGAACTCCATGATAAAAATGATACTTTTACTGAATACATACATACATATTATATAAGGGGAAGTGAGATTTTTAGCAGAGGCGGTCGTGGTAGGGAAAGAGAAGAACAAAAAGAGTAATATAATAATTAGGACTAGTTTGTTAATAAATTGTGAAAAAGAATTAAAAAGCAAATTTAATTTCACAAGAAATGCACCAAGAACAAAACAAAAAAGGAGAATCAATGCATGAGTGAATGCAGTGGCCTGTCTATGCAGTAAATTTATACGTTTTAAAATTAAGTAACTTACATCGTTGTCAATACAAAGAAATAAATGATAAGAAGAATATTTTGTTCTTAAAAAAAGCAATGTGTAATGCACGGGCCGAGGCAGGACGGGGGAAAGTTGAGATCATTGTCGGCGAATAGACATAATACACCCACACCTGCGTGTGTGTTTATATATTATATGTCACACACATATATACCCACAACGCCAGCCAGGCACATGATGCAAAACAAAAGAAAAACAAAATTGATCAAATTGTGTATCACTTCAAGGCAAACAGAAACAGTTTATAATATAGGTTGTCATGATAGCGGAATAGATGTTGAATTAAAATCTCAGTGTATGTAGCATGCATCATTGTTTTTTACTTAGTTATAAGTCATAAAATTAAAGAGAAAGCGCAACTAAATATTTTATATATTTTAGGAATACAAAAAGTGACTGAGAATTCTTCTTCTTCTTCTGTGGTTTAGATGAAGGAGAAAAACAAAAATGCAAAGTTAGAGACTGGATTGTGAGAATTGAATTGAATAGGTAGAAACACACGTACATACGTACGCACAGACACACACACATCGAAAAACGATGGCAAACATAATAATTAGACACACACATACACACACAGATTATTGCACATAAATGATTGCTTTTATATTAATTAACGTTATAATAATACCAAGAGCAAATTTACTCTGTGCATCATCATTTACTATAGTTTGAATTACATTCTATGAGGAATTCAACAATAAATTTTTACTGTCAACTCTTAAAGATATGAATGCATTTAGAGTTCAGGAAAACAAAAAGGTTATTTTACTCCGCCTAATTTGAAAATACGTAATTCTTTAATGATATTTATTGTGTAATACAAAACACAGAAAAAGAAGAAAAGAAGAGAGAAAAAGACAATATATATCGGTTGAATTAATTGATTGTGATAATGGTAGCGGTGTCGTGAGGAGGAGGAGGAGGAGGAGAGTAGAAGAGAGAAACAAAAGAAATATAAAGATACAATCAGCGATAAAAAAGAGCACAAATGCTTATTATTACTATTTTCACATTCATAAATTGATTGCGATCCTATATATGTGTGTTCCTCTTGTTATTTCATTGCATTGGAAAAAGAAAAGAACAACGACACAAGAAACACGATGATATCGGTGATGATAACTGGAGAGAGAAAAAAAGAGCATTGAATCATTTATATTTATTCATTCATACTCAGGGATATAGCTTAGTTTGATCAATTCCATATTCGCAGGAAGCTATCCCATGATCCTGTGCAAACTGCCATACCATCTTCAGATACACCCAAACAACTGACACGATTATCATGACCAGCCAATATACCTAAAGTTTAAAAGTAAAAAGAAAAAACAAACATTTACATGAAACAGAAATACTGTTTAATTCAACAGACAAACATTCTGATTTGCTTCCTGCCGATTGCCTCCGACCATCTAATACCATCAAATCAATGTGCACCGTGATGGCGAGCTAGCCAGAATGGTGGTCACATTACAACCTGACTGATAGAATTCAGTCTACACCAATCAGAGGACTAGACGCATCACACTAGTTACTAGTGTCAAATCAAAATATCCACTACAGTCCTACAGGAGGTCAATCGCGGGCCCGAATAACTCAGTGGTAACGTCTCTGACTGCAGCACTGGGTGACGCGGGTTCGAATCTCAGAAGGGACATGAGTTCCTTCAAGGCTGCAAATACGCCTTGCTGACGAGTGCCAACTAGCACGAAACCTAGGTCCAAGGCTTCCTGCCGATTGCCTCCAACCATCTAATACCTTCAGACAAACATTCTGTTATAAAAAAACAACAAACGACTGGAATAGTCCAGTTATAAATACAAACCAGTAACTGTACACATTCTTAATATACCCAGTCTTTCTGAGAGATTTGATGAGTTAGTAGGAGGGTAGTATGAATCCACTGTTTGCTTTGATAGAATGAGTCATATTTGCAAAAGTTAGTATTTCAAATACTCAGTTACGAATCACTAAATTGCTAAGTAGTGATCAAAACATACCTCTATAGCCTCCGCCTTTAAAGTCATCTACAAGGCAAAGAGTAATTTACCCAAATCCCTACGTACCCGACTCACGTGTATTGCTGAAGCTTTGGCTATCGAAACAGAAAAGCCAGATCTCTGTGTACAGAAAAAATATTCGTTCAACCCCTCCAACTTTGATGGTCTTAATCCCTCTATGCTAAAATATGGTAATTTCCAATCATATTTTGAGACCGAGCACTTCGGTCCAATCAATCGACGGGAAAATCAAAAATTCAATTCAATAATTTTTCATTTTGTCTATTCAATTTGTATATTCTTCCTTATTAAGTCAATTGCTATTATTACTATTCTCTCTTTGAACTGTCCCCGGTATTATTTCACTTGTTTCACTTGTCATTCTAAATCAATTCTTATTTACAACGAAAAATTCTATGCTATTGAATTTCACACAATATTACATAACGTTTTTGTTTTATTCGATTTGTCTACTAATCCTATAATTGCACATTCTCTTCCAAGTTCTATCCATCCTATGAATTATTCTATATATGACATTAATTTGCTTTGTCACTTGACATTTAACTACGATTACAATTACAAACATTTTAGTTTTAATTGAACTTCATATTAAACATATATGTCCATATGTGGCCTATTGCATCAGTAAAATATTTCATCTTAATTTGTATTCGAGTGATGCGCTCATTTAAACTGAAGTATTTTCAAGGGTACACAATTTACCATTACTCAAAATACCTTCACAATTCGAAGAAATTTATATCATAAGCGTTTTTAATATGAAGAGCAACTTATAATAATTGTACTAACTGACATACAATTTAAATAAATACCTTGACAACAAGTTCAAAATGTCGACAAATGTACTATTCACAACACTACTGAACTAGTTATAATTTCAACAAAAAGAAAAATTAAATCAAATATTTAAAGCTGAAAATTCTAATAGGAGAATAATTGATGTCCAGATACCATCTGACCATCTGAAGAAACGGTCTAGAATCCTTTACTGCTGAATTGTATCTATGTTTATTACAATATTACAAAAATTGTGTTAAATGTCTGATTTTCTTTATTAGGGTCAATTGTTTACAATCACATAAATTCATTTTAGATGATTAGTGGGAAATTGCATCTATCTACTGCATTTGAAAAAAAACAACATTGTACGATCATATTTTGTAAATGAGTGAGTTTACATGCGTTCAGTCACACAAAACAGTGAACACAGTTGTAACGCAACGCTATGACTACTACTGATACTATCTAGATTAAAATACTCTGCTTTAGTTTTTAATCATGGAATCACTATTGTATACAACCAGGTGAATTTGTCTATAACATTGTGTACGCTCAGCAGTTCGCTCCGTCCTTCTCCATGGCTCTGAAACATGGCCAATATGCGTTGAAGACATGAAAAGGTTGACTGTTTTTTGATCATAGATGTCTGCGATCTCTGTCTCACGTTAGGTGGTTTCACAAGATAAGTAATGTTGACGTTAGGCGTAGAGTGTTGGGCAAAGAAGGAAAATCAATAGAGGAGGCTACATAGATTGAGATGGCTAGGTCACGTGCTGCGCATGCCTAACCACCGCCTCCCCCGACGGGCTTTGCTAGCTGATATAGGTTCAGGTTGGAAAAGAGCCAGTGGTGACCAAACAAAAACATGGCATCAATCCACGAAATCATTGACAGTTAAACTGAGTCAGGTAGGGAGATGCAGACTTCCGGGTTGGGGCCCTCGGGACTCTAGGAATCAATGGCTGGAGACAATAGGTGACATGGCTCAAAATCGTTGTCAATGGCCAGCGCAGATGTTTTCAGTCTCTGTAATCTTTCATATTCCTTTCTACCATTACCCATTCTGTTTCACTCTTATACTTGTCAAACTCTATTGATTCTCTTCACTCATCTTCTTGTCTACCTCTGTGTACTATTTGGAACGTGGCAACTCGAACTGGTGCACTTCGGTGGCAAGTTCTATGTTGAATCCAGACAGACAGACGCTAATTATATCTGACCAACGTCTTTGTTTCTCTTCTCTTAGTCAAATTTAACTGATGGTATGTTTTTCACTAAGCCACAGAAAACTGAAGTGTTCACTTTCATAATAGTCATATTAACAGCATAAACAATACAAAAGATTTACAATAGGAAATGCTCATCAACCAACAGAAAAATGATTGCAGAGTTAGACTGTTATAAATGCATTTGAACAAATAAAAAAAACCTAAAGTATTCATTTGTAGGATTTGATTGGTTACAGGATCTCATCATGAGCTGACATCGGTTAGAGAACCAATGGAAAACTTGCAGAGTATTGGACAGCTGTTTCGTCTCAGTTTGGGGCTATTCATAAGAACACACCCACCGCTAGGGTTCGAATTATGGACCTTCCGGTAACAAAGCGAGCTTGTATATCGTTCAGCCAGTGGGAACCGGAACCAATGGGCTATGAATTCCAACTTGTGTCAATACTCAATGGTTCTCAAACTGATATCAACCTGTGATCAAACTTCAAACCAATAAAATCCCCTACAAACTAACACTTGAACATTCTTGACTGCTAGTGAATTGTTTATTAAGTAAGTATTTAGAAGATTTATCAACTAGAAGTGATATTATGTACTCTTAAAAAGAGATGCCAGTTGTTGATCATAAACAGTTTCTGCTATCTACTTGTAAAGCTTCGGTTATAAGCAGGAAATGACTGTATAAAATTCCCAAGAATTCATTTCATGGATGAACCCAGAAATATCAATTAAATTATGAATTAATCTTAATATTGCTAAATTCAGTTACACTTGATACAACTTCAACTTCTATGTTATTATTTTATGAAATATATAAACCGATAGTATTGTCAAACTTAGGTAGAAAGCAAAAAAATTACATAAAGACTTGTCATCTGGTGAAGGGATACACAACAAATGGCTAAAAATATAACTAAAATAAATTGTTACATACCAGCTCGTTCCTGTTTAAGAGTGTCCCATATATTACAATTGAAGTCATCATATCCACCAAGTAGCAGTCTTCCACTTTTACTGAACGCTACACTAGTTATTCCACAAATAATATTATCGTGACTAAACATTCCAATTTCTTGATCAGCTCTAATATCAAACAATCGACAGGTAGCATCATCACTACCAGTAGCAAAAGCCAAACCACTCGGAAAGAAAGTAATTGCATTAATATCTGATTCATGTCCAGTGAATGTCTGTTTGCACTGACCATCACGTATATCCCATAACTTCATTATGTAAGTAAATTGTAAACAAAAATGAAGTAAATAGAAATACATTTTTAATTTAAGAAATATAGTGTTTTTATGCAGTCAATGAAAATGAAACTACTACTGGAAACGCATATCCTACATTCACTATCACAAAGGATCATATAAATAGCATTTTATATTAGTATTCTGATTACAGCTTGATTCCACACTGTATTTTTGGTACAAGTATGGAATTTTCAGTATGTGATATCGGTAGCCCAAATTTCGCAGACCGACCATAGATATCAGGTGTGCGTCGGCAAGGGATCGAACCTTGGGCCATGTGTGCATGGTCGGCAAGAGTCCTAACCACTGTGCCACCGACGCACAACATCAGATAATCCGACACTACTATCAAGTAATAAATAATGTTTTACCATGTGGCATATAGGTCTCTGTACTAGATAGTCTCTTGAAAGCAAAAAGATGTTATATTGTTTAAGTAGATGTAACGCATTTTCTCTACACATAAGAAACTAATCAGAAGTCAAACACTTATGTAAATAATTAATATCTGTGTACTGTTGAGAAATATTATTTCAAACAACGCTTTTGTGTAGTACATCATCACATAACTATAAATAAGCCATATGGAAATGAATATCGGAAAACGCTTCAACATTCCCACCGTTCAGTACAGGCTTAATTAACCAAGTTGCCATCAGTCAGACTGGTCCCACTGCGTTTCATGCAACTGAGATATTTCGGGATATCTACCTAAATTCCAATGAATAGTCAAATAAACGAGAGAAGTATCAAAAATATGCTAAGTAGTAAAGCTGAATGCTTCTCTTTCTAATTTTAAATGGCAGTATTAAGATGGTTAATATTGTGGTCAGGCTTACAGTGTTAGATAAAGAACAAAGTCAAGCAATGAGGTTGCGAAGCTGAACAGATTGAGACAGCCAGAACATGTGTTACAGATATCAAGCTATCACCTTCCTTATCCAACAATATTAGTTGACAAAAAGTTAGGTTGAAATAGAGTTAGGGATGCTGGTACCAACCCAATGAGGTCTTTGGTTGTTGATCTCAGTCATGTTGGAAGGTTTAGTCTGGGTGACTGGGGTTTCTCGGGATGTTAAGAACCAATGGTTTGATACTGTTGGTACGATGACTCAAAACAACTTTCAATAGCACAGATGCATCGATTCTTTGTAATTTTTGCAGACCCACTTAATTTACATGTTCCTATTCTTTCTCTCGTACATGCATGTTCAATATAGTTCGTTCGAATCACTTTTTTTCCCGTGCTACATGAAGTGTGGCGGCTCGAACTGCAGCGTTTCTGTGCACAGTTCTATGTTAAAACTCAGTTAGTCAGCAGTGAGAGTGAAGGCTAGAACAATTCTATTACCTTTATTTTACTCATTTCCTAAAGAGACTGAAAGATGCACTGGATAGAGTAACTTTGCTTGAAACAAACTGGTAAGGGAATGTTTAGTTGTAATTTGGTATCTCTATATTGCCAAATTAAGTAAAGCTTATCTTCAACGCACTATTTGCACAGATGTTCTGTGTTGTGCTACTTCCGACCTTCATATTAATAATAATAATAATAATTTGCTTTATTCAAAAACAGTACTTGTGACTGTTTGGCATTTAGAGGGGTTTAGGGTTAGACCCCCGACCGAAAGCTGCTACCTTGACGTGGTGGTCGGGCTTGAACACCGCAATGATCTATTCAAGCTATACTGGCTGAGACTTATGTCTCTTGAGGTCTACCATGCCAGGCAGGTTGTTTGGATAGCGGTTAAACAAAAAGCAGCTACCCAATCCAACATCATGATAAATACAAAACCAAAAAATTTCATGCCGGATCGGCCGTGGCCCGGATTAACAACGACCGCGCTTCCTGCTGCCGTGTCACAGGGGGAGTGATAAATATGCTACTGAGGCACACAAAACACAAAGAACAAACAAAAGCAGGCCGCGTGTGACCGGCCTCAAGCAGTTGTCCCCTGGGCTCTGCGGTCACGCAACCAACTTCCACGGTGTGGGCAGCCGGGAAGTAACAATCGCCCTCACAATCCGAAATGCACACGAAACCTCTCTAATCCTCACTTATCTTTGTCTTCATCTCTATCATCTTGCCTTCCTTCCACTGATGCAACTCCTCTACTTGATAGCTCCTCACTTCCTCTTCACTCTGCGTCCACTAAAAACGACGGAAGCCAAAAAACCACCACCGACAGCCTCCTAAAGCCACGCCACCAATTTCATATAGGAGCTTTTAATGTTAGGACACTTTGCCAAATAGGACAACAAGCATCACTAGCCAAGACCCTGGCATCACGAGCCATTGATGTATGTTGTGTTTCAGAAACACGCATACAAGACCCAAGTGTGGTTATTCACCTAACCCCACCTGGCCAACAGGTTGAATCTGCAAAATTCACCTTGAGGGTGTCAGGAGATGCCACAGCTAGTTCACGAGGATTAGCTGGCGTAGGGATAGCTTTGAGTACTAGGGCAGAAAAGACATTGCTTGACTGGATCCCGGTAGATAGCCGAATGTGTGCTGTCCGTCTGAACGGATCAGTAAGAAGGAGAAAGGACTGCACTACTCGCCGATGCCTTTTCGTAATCTCCGCCTACGCCCCCACTGACTGCAGTTCAGATGAAACGAAGGATGAGTTCTACCAAAAGCTGTCTAGTTTGGTGCGAAAGGCTAAACGCTCAGACATAGTCGTTCTAGCTGGTGACTTTAACGCTCAAGTAGGGAAATTGTGTCAATCTGAGAAGGATGTCGGTGGCACCTATGGAGCTCCGTGCCAGCGAACCGACAACGGTGACCGTCTCCTACAGTTCTGCTCTGATAATCATTTGTTTCTTGTAAGCACTAACTTCAAACACAAGGAGAGACACTGTTTGACTTGGAGACCCCCTTCATCAAACCAACGCTGGACACAAATAGACCACATAGCAATAAGCTATCGTTGGCGTGGGTCGGTAGGAGATTGTCGCTCCTTCTGGAACACGTGCGTAGATACCGACCATGCACTGGTCCGCGCTCGGGTGTGCTTACGACTGAACGGACGTAGGAAACAGCTGGCGGTAAAACCATCACGTCCCCAGCTCGATCAGGAAACTAAATCCGTATTTGAGGAAGAACTAGCTAAACACATATCTGTGTTCGACAGCTGTGCTCACCCTGAAGAAGCTTGGAAAAATATCCAGGCAGCCATAGATACAGCTGTAAAAGCTGTGAATAAGGTAAACCCAAAGGTGAGTAAAAACCACTGGATCTCCACCGCCTCATCCGAACTGATAGATGCTAGAAGACTTATTCCGGCGAGCTCCGAATTCAATGAGGAGCGAAAGCTGCACAAGAGGAAACTTACGAAAAGTCTCCGCAAGGACCGTGAACAGTGGTGTGTGACAAAGGCGAAAGAGATGGAGAAAGCTTCGAGGTTAGGCAACAGCAGGCAACTATTTAGACTATTTAGGGAGGATGCTGAAGAAATGCAGAGTCTCCTGAACACCTTGAGCAGCAATCTTCGTATGTTTGGCATGCGATTCGCCCCTACAAAATGTAAGATGCTGCTACAGGACTGGACCACGTCAACCCCTAACTTAGTGATAGGGAGTGAAGTAATAGAACATGTTGACCACTTCACCTACTTGGGAAGTTGTATTAGCACCAACGGACTGATTGGCGATGAAATCTCAGCACGGATCCGAAAAGCTCGAGCTGCTATTGCTGACTTACACCATCTCTGGCGTAGGCGTGACATCCGGCTATCAACCAAGGGACGTGTGTACTGCTCATCAGTTCGCTCCGTCCTTCTCTATGGCTCTGAAACATGGCCAATACGCGTTGAAGACATGAAAAGGTTGACTGCTTTCGATCATAGATGTCTGCGATCTCTGTCTCACGTTAGGTGGTTTCACAAGATAAGTAATGTTGACGTTAGGCGTAGAGTGTTGGGGGAAGAGGGAAAATCAATCGACGAGGCTATAAAGTTACATAGACTAAGATGGCTAGGTGACGTGCTGCGCATGCCTAACCACCGCCTCCCCCGACGGGCTTTGCTAGCTGATATAGGTTCAGGTTGGAAAAGAGCCAGTGGTGGCCAAACAAAAACATGACATCAATCCATGAAATCCTTGACAGTTAAACTGAGTCAGGTAGGGAGATGCAGACTTCCGGATTGGGGCCCTCGGGACTCTAGGAATCAATGGCTGGAGACAATAGGTGACATGGCTCAAAATCGTTGTCAATGGCCAGCGCAGATGTTTTCAGTCTCTGTAATCTTTCATATTCCTTTCTACCATTACCCATTCTGTTTCACTCTTATACTTGTCAAACTCTATTAATTCTCTTCACTCATCTTCTTGTCTACCTCTGTGGGCTATTTGGAACGTGGGAACTCGAACTTCTGCACTTCGGTGACAAGTTCTATGTTGAATCCAGTCAGTCAGTCAGTCATTTAGACTCACCAGGGAAACGGAGGGGAGAAGACAAATCACTAGTGAAACAATCTCGGAAAAAAATGGCACTGTAATTAGCTCCCAGGATAGATGACTGGATCGTTGGAAAGAGCATTATGAGGAGCAGTTTAATTGGCCCACAGCCACGCTCAACCTTCCGAGCATCCAACACCTCCCTCAATGGGATATAGACACAGGTCCTCCATCCCTAACTGAGGTTACTAAAGCTGTCACCAATCTGAAACAAGGCAAAGCAGCGCGACCTGATGGAATGACGCCAGAGGTATTTAAGTACGGTGGAGACAGCTTACTGTCCGGATTAACTGAGGTACTAGTCAGCGTCTGGGAATCAGAAGAAGTCCTGTCGGGTTGGTGTAAGTCACTGATTATCCCCATATACAAGAAGGGAGACAAGTCTTCCTGTGATAATCACAGAGGGATTAGCTTGACTAATATAGTATCTAAAGTCTTAGGCTCAATAATCATGCGTAGACTAAGTGGTGCTAGGGAGGCACAAACACGAGAGAGCCAGGCAGGCTTTAGATCAGGAAGAGGGTGTATTGATCATATCTTCGCCCTCCGATAGATTCTAGAACATAGGAATTCCTACCGGCGTCCAACAGTCATTATATTTCTTGACCTAAAGGCAGCATTCGACTCTGTCGATCGAGAAGTTCTCTGGAGATGCTTGGCTGTAAAGGGAATTCCAAGAAAATACATTGCACTGATTAAGGCACTCTACTCGTACTCATACAGCCAGGTGAGGGCTTACGGCGAGCTATCATCTGAAATGGTGACTAGTGGTGTCCGTCAAGGATGCCCATTATCCCCTTTTCTATTCAACTGCATCATAGTCCTTCTAGGCGACGACTTTGACAAAATACAGAGTCTTCTAGACACCTTGAGCTGTAATCTACGAATGTTTGGCATGGGATTCGCTCCCGTCAAATGCAAGATGATGTTACAAGACTGGACTACATCGACGCCTAGTTTAAAAATAGGAAGTGAAGTGGTAGAGCACGTTGACCGCTTCACTTATTTGGGAAGTACCATCAGCCAGTGCCAATGGGTTGATCTCTGACGAAATCTCAGCACGAATACAGGGGGCTCGTTTCGCATTTGCCAGTTTACGCCGACTCTGGCGTAGACGAGATGTTCGACTATCGACCAAACGGCGGGTGTACTGCTCATCAGTCCGCTCCGTCCTCCTTTATGGCCAGCTGTGAGACCTGGCCATTGAGAGTGGAAGACATGAAAAGATTAGCTGTCTTTGATCATAGGTGCCTGCGCTCTATCTCCTGTATGAAGTGGTTTAATAAGATGAGCAACATTGAAGTTAGGTGTCGAGTGCTAGGTAGGTGGGAGGGGAAATCAATCGACGAGGTCGTGAAGCCACAAAGACTGAGATGGTTAGGACATGTGTTACGTATGCCAAGCCATCGCCTCCCTCGACGAGCAATGTTAGCGGATATAGGGTCAGGCTGGAAAAAAGCTAGCGGCGGTCAAACAAAAACTTGGCCTCACCAGTCAATGAAATCCACAACAGTTGGTCTAAGCCAGTCACGTAGGAAGGTGTAGACTTCCAGGCTGGGGTCCTCGGGACGGTAAAAATCTATGGTTGGAAACAATTGGTGACATGGCTCAAAATCGTTCTCAGTGGCGCAGATGCATCCACTCCTTGTGACTTATGATCTTCAATGAAACTGTTTTGTTCTTCGTTATTACTCCTTTGTCTCACACCTCTGCTCACTGTTTCCATTATGCTTCTCTTGTACTTTCTTCTCTTGCTTCGCGTGCTACACGGAGTGTGGCGACTTGAACTGGCGCACATTTGTGCAAAGTTCTATGTCGAAAACAGACAGGCAGGGTTAGACCGTTTTTCTTGGACCACTGGCTGATTTATGATAAAAAGCTATTTATTTTGGAGCAGTCACTTTGACATTTGACAGGCAAAGAAACAGTAAGGTCATCAGCATATTTAACAAAATTAATGTCATTTGAAGATGGTAAGTCATGTAGAAAGAAAGAAAAAAAAGTGGGGAGAGCACAGCACCTTGGGGGACACCAGCTTCAGTGAGCATAGCAGAGGAGGATTTATCTTTGTATACAGTGTACTGTATTCTGTTTGAGAAGTAGGAATGCAACCAGTTAGTGACCCAGGACTCAGTTTGTGTCATAAAGAGCTTATTTAGCAATAGATATCTAGGTACAGAATCGAAAGCAGAAGTGAAGTCGAGAAACGTACAGAGGACGTATTTGGCACCTTTATCTAATGAGACGATACTGTCTCATTACGTTTCTTTATGTTCCTTCCACGTCTTCCATGTATCTCCACAACTCTGTATCATTTGCTTTCTCTAACATCAAACCTATCTCCGTGTTACCTGATGTTTTTATGCCGATGAACATCTCTTTATATGTATACTACTGATAAATCTTATCAGTAGCACATGCCACAATAATAGTAAAATCTCTACATCAACTTCATCGATTGTGAAAAGGCCTTCAAGAGTGTTGACTGTGAATTCATTTGGAAACTGCTTCAACAATAAGGGGTGCCACATACTTTTATCAACCTCATTCAACAGTTATTTAATGATGCCATACATCAAGTGATTCTCAACGGAAAACTCAGTAATGCCTTCGAAGTGAATACAGGAGTGAGACAAAACTGTCTACTATCGTCTATAATTCTCCTAATTGTGGATTATGCGAAAAATCACAGGGAGCGAGAAGACAGGAATATATTGCACCAATAAGATGATTGTAGAAGACTTGGATTTCGCGGATGATTTAAGTATAGTATCACACAACTCGAGGGCTTATGGGTGAAAATCAACAAAGGCATAACTTCAAACATAGGTCGTGAAGATGACCAACAATAACAACAGTTGGTGTTGAAAACACCAACATCAACCTTCGCTCCATACCGAGGATCAGATCACCAGAAAGAATTAGCGATAAGAAACTCTAGGAGCGAACTAATCAAGAACCTATTACTCAGAAATGTGTAGGGGAAAATGGAGGTGGATCAGACACGCGCTGAGGAAACGCCTGGGTGAAATCGTGCGCAAGGCGCTCGAGCAGAATCCGAATAGGAAACGACGATTTGGGTGTCCATGGGTGACATGGAGGTATTTGTGCAGAGAGGAGATGACAGCCCATGTACAACTGTATAACGAGCTAAAGAGGACTGCAGAGAACAGGACAAAATGGAGATGTGCTACTGAAGCCCTATATTTCCCTTGTAACCCAAGAGAATAATAATATTTTACTCACGTAACAATAAACTCCAGTGCTTTTGTAGATAAAAGCAATGATATTTTACTATTATCCGTCCTATGAAAAGAAAACGCCGCATGCAGTAATGACAATTTAATAAAATTTCAGTGATAAACAGAGTAACTTTCTCGTCACCATCCTACATTATCATTAGAAACATGGCAGTAAGCCAGAATAATATTTCACATAAAAGAATCCTATCTATTTAACAAGATTCTGTCTTACTGAGTTATAGCATATTACACATCACTTCAAGAAATCTTGTAGCTGAAACACTTATACTGAAATACGAGAGGGAGTAAAAAAAGAGAAAACAAGAAAAGAATTGTTAGAGTTATTTGACAATGACCTAGAACAACGCAATAAGATCATTGATCAGCTGCGCTAGCATTTAAGCCTTACCAGAGGAAAAATTAATCTAAAAGAAATTTTTTTCCTTGTTATTGTTGTTTTTATTTGCCTGGGAGAAGGCAATGGAGTGTGAGATAGAATTTTTATATTTATTTATATAAATATACTTGCTGTGTGTATGTAAGAACAGACTATGCGGCCGAGCCAAAAGTACAGGCATTTATACAGACACGTATATATCTCTTTACACAGACACGAAATAAACAGACACGTATGCGATTAATGTAACTATGAGGTACGACTTTTACGCTAAGGGTAGGGAAGAGAGAGAGATGGGGGCAGGCAATAAAATAGTCAGGACATAAACCATACCAATCAATAATAAGGAAGAGATCGAAAGATAATCCGTAAATGGCCTGCACAAGCTTTTATTGCTTATATTACTATCACGGCTACTTTATTGATTAAATATCAGTAAGCATTGAGCAATTAGCTGCTGGTAGTATAAAAATGGGATATATATATATATATATATATATATATATGTATATATATATATATATATATATATACACGTGTCCAAAATTATATCACTTATTTCTGTTTTGAGATTTTTGAAATTCGAACTGATGAATATCCTAAATGACCGTGTACGCCCAAAATCTAGTACATATGTTCTAAAAGGCGAATACGACCACTTGCCATAGCAACAAAAATATCCGAATGCATGCGACTCTCAGCTTTCTTGTGTGTGTGTGTGTTTCACCATAGACAAGGGTAAATTATTATTATTCAGGGCGTGTACGCACTCAACCTCTGAAAAAGGAAAGTTTGCTGCCTTTATCAACAAACAAATAAAATCGGAACGGAAAGAATAAATTTAGAAAATATAGAAAAAGAATAGATTAATAACAACCTTTAAGTAGGCAACAAATAATTTTCATATAAGAATTGAAAAATGGAAAGCTAACCTTTGCAGATGCATCACAAGCACCTGAAACAAAACTTCGCAAATCAGGAGCTAAACTCAAACTCATGACATCGCCTGTATGACCTGTGAATGTAGCGACCTGTTGGCCAGTTTCAATATCCCAGAGTCCACTGAAAAATAAAGACATTCAGAGTAAAAGGGTAAAAAAAAATTTCCAAGTGAAAATAATATATACAGATAACTAATGAACTATTCAGTTATCAAATGTCACTTATTTCTCCTATATTTACAACAAAAAAAAACTTGGTTCAGCATGGGAACAAAGATAAATGTCATAAAATGTATTGGAACTATAACGAAAAAAGAGAATCAAAAAGATTATTGTTTAACAGTGAGCTTCTGGGAGTTCTTGTAAAGTCGTTACTTTATATTACTTTAGGAAATCACAGAAGTGGCTCCAACTTTCAGTCACACCTGAAAACGTTTCGAGTCACTGAAATTCATTAGCCCTAATCACAGGCTGCGATGTACCAGCCGATACCAACTCAAGGAAACTGTTTCCCACCTCACAGGCTGTCATGGAATGACCATTTCATTCAGTTCCACAGTTAGTAAGTGATGAAAAATATGGAAGTTGTTAAAATGACATCCATGAGAAAAGCTCATTTCAGTGAAGCCAGTTTCCCAGGATGTAATCTGAACTGAATGACGACCTCTACCTCGTCTAAAGGTGCACCGCCGGATGTCAAAATCACTTTGATAATACCATTACTAGATCCTACCCATCCTTAAATGGCCTGATGACCAAATGCAAATAGTCACATGGCATGATCAGCTAAAATAAGCATATAGCAGAACTGCACACATAAAGATACTATAAATTCCACATTGTAACGATATGGACATGGGAACTATGACAGCTGAGAATCACATTGGTGTATGTAAGTTTGTTCGGCCATCACCTACATTCGCGAAACTATGTAGATATGTATGAGCCACTCAGTGAGTACAGAAACACCTGTAAGAATCAGCGTGTAAAACGTTTCCTAACAATACTGCAGACTTTAATAGTGCAATGAATCTGTCACGTTTAGAGACAATGATCAGCACGTGACGTCGTAGAATTCAAACGTAACACGGAATTTTTTCTACGTACTAGGTCCACACAATCACTACATATCTCTTTTAGAGATGCCATTAATAAAAAGCTATTGAACAAAAGTTTTTCTTCGACCGGACTACGAACTACACTCTTTTGAGATTTGCCTTGTTTTACTAGCTCAGGTACGTGGAGTGATAAGTACTGGTTGAAACTCAGTTGCGTAAACTAGCCCGATTAGCACATGCATCCATACATAAACAGAAAACAGGGTGTTTTAAACCTAAGAACATCTAGCAAGTTGTTTTCATTTTGTTTTCAATTTGCAGTTAACAAGATATTTAGTATGATAAAGAAGACTTTGTGAATCTAATATTAAATTTCAATGACAGAAAATAACCAAGCCTTAGGTTTGAATACCGTCTACATAAAATCAAATAAAAACGATAACACTTTAAGTAAAATTTTAAGTAAAGCGTGAGTGAGTGTGTAAAATGCGTACAACCTCACGTTTATTGAGGCTACTACAGAAGAAATTTAATATGAGGAACACTATTCGGGGAAATAAGCCTTATTAAGAAAATACTTCTTTTATTATTTAATAACGTATTTAATAATACACTAAGAACTGTAGAAGACTAGATAACGTTATTGAAACCGAAGACAAATTTACCTAGTTATATATTCACATTTAGGAATTCATGAAGTAGCATACAGGGAACGAGTTTTGAAATGAAGTATGTAAGTCTACGTATAACTACAACTACGATCTCAGATATTCATCTTGTGTATGTGCAATGGGACTGGTTTTCACAATATGTTAGAGCACTAGGCAATGCCTACGGTTACATTGATAAATTTAGTAAGAAGGATATTGATCAACTCTTATCCCATCCATAGAAGTTGAAATTTTTGAATATCAAACAAGGAATAGGTTAGTGGTACAGTTACGCAAACTGCTGTACCTCAGGGTTTTTACGTAATCAGTAATAATAGACGTGATCTCATCTAAAGTATTAAATTGAAACACTGTTTTGTCATGCTTAAATATTAAGAGAAATATATTAGATTAAAGTAGGAATGACAAGATCATAAATGATTAACAAACCAAAGTGGTACGACGCATTTTATGTGTCTATCAATTTCGCGGAGTGATTTCATAAAAAAGTTAGAAGATAGAGGGAATGACAAAATTTGTGAGGATACGATAGGATTATGATTTACGAATTTTGTGATATGTTGTGTGAACACAATAGCAGACTCCGAACCTTCTTCTTTACCCCGGATATAATAAACATAGTGGAAATGGTTAACAGAAACTGGTTCCACAGGAAAACTATGACATTAATTTTCACCAGTGGATTACTTTGCCACCAGATCTTCAATTATTGTTTTACACAAAGTTGTATTCATTTAAATCTTATCTTTTGTTTTCTTTTAGTTGTCTACAAATATTACATTTTCCCTCGTTTAATTATAACTTCTGTGTATGATCTTGTGTCCCAATTCCTGCTTCTCACAAGATTTCTAATTGTAACGTATCTTATACGTTAAAATCCAACAATTAGAAAGAGGGTAAAATGGTTGAATGGGTTAGTCAGTTCACTTATTTTAAGACATACATTATTACCCATGCAACGAGCTTTGTTTTAACCAAATTAGGTCATTTCTGGATGTCGGCATGATATCTGACTATCCACCATAAGGGTATTCAGATCCAATCGACTGATCTTCACCATAAAGCCATAGCATAGTCAATGAAGACATAACACATGAAAAGCATTTGAGATAACAGGTGTTTCCTGGGCGTTGATAAGTGGGTGGACTGGAATTATGTGTCTGAACAGTAAAGATCACAACTTGTTCATTACTTTCTACCCCAGCATGTGGTGTTCAAAAGCAAAGAATTCAGTCAAAAATGTAGACTCACCTGATTACGTTCTTTAAAATGTTGGGAATCTGAGCTGTAACCTTTATTTGTTAAGTATTAATTGAATGAAAGACGTAAATTATCTGAATACTCATATAATACAATAAATAAAAAAAAACTAAACTAAACATCTACAACATACCAGGTGACATCACCAGAACTAGTCACAATTTGACTGTCATCAATGAAACGACAACATGACAGGTATCCTGTATGTCCTGGTAGTTCACGACTAACACGTACATTTCCTTCGCGTGTTTTAAGGTTGTAGATAGAACAAATATTGTCTAAACCTCCGCATGCTACATAGTTACCAGAAGGTGCATATGCGCATGTCATGACCCAGCTACTTCTTAAGGGAATAGCATGAACCTACAAAGGAATTCAACATACTATATTGTAAGACTGAAAAAAATGACAGAGAAATTCAGAAAAAAAGGAAACCAAACTGCTATCAACAAGAAAATATGGCAAACTGAAAACTAATGGTAAGTATAAACTACTTTCTTTAACTTTAAGCTACCTGGGAGATACTTACAGCATTTATGAAACGTTGACCTGATTAGATAATGCAAAAAAGATATTATTAAAAGTAAATTAGAGTCATTATTAAGCATAATTTCAACAGTGCCCACAGAAAACACCATGAATCTCGTCAACATTTACTTTAAGTCCAGTATGACATCATCGAAAAATGCAAAAAGAACAAACGAATATGACAAGCAGAAACGTTAAATGTCACTTTAAAGAACAAGTGAGAAGTTATACACTATAATAGGGAGAAGTCTGAGATATTATATGTCAGTCTTAAGTAATAATATTAAACGAGTTAATTCTTACCTTATTAGTAGTATATCCATCCCACACTATTAGTTTACCGTCTTGTGAAGCTGAAACAAGATTACGCGAATCAGTGCTCCAGTGCATAGCATAAATTTTAGCCAAATGGCCACGTAAAGTACGACGAGTACGCAATTGAATTCGCCCAACAGGCTCCACATTAGAAGCTGCCTGAAGTAAAGTGGTATCAGCTGCAGCTTTGCGAGCCTCCTAGAGAATAAATAGTACGATTAAATAGTGAGATACTATTAATAATAAATAAATTAATTTTTCCTTCACGTTCCCAGTGGAACATAGGGCTCCAAGCTAGTGGCTTGAAGTTTCTGTAGCAGTGTTTAATTTTTATAGGATGGGGTTGCTAGCCTCATGCCCAACCTTTCCTCTTTACCAGCATTATTTCTGGCTCAGTGAGGTAAAGGAGTGCGCCGGCCGGGGATCGAACCCCGGACCATATGCATGGTCGGCGAGCGTCCTAACCGCTATACCACCGACGCACGTGAGATACTATTCGTAAGTGGTAATTACAGATGAACTAAGAACTAGTAAAAACCCATATATAATACGTAAATTTACTTAAAGAGAATTCAATAGGATATTCAGTAAAGATACTGTTTCATTCACTTTAACATTAAGTGAATGAACCAAAATGAAATACTCTACTGTACGATCTCAATCCTATTCCTTAACTAATAAATAAGTGAATTATTTTCTAGAAAATCCTCAGAAAGACTGGAATTGTTTTACTCAAAAACATTAACGATATTAATCGCAAAATTGATTTCTTTCCAACAGATTTTGAGACTAAATCACCAAGATAATAAATTTAGTTTCAGTCTAAATAAATATGCTTATAGTTAGAAGGAGAATGAGTTCATGGGAAAATGTTTCATTCACAAAACCCCTCAAGATTTGAATGCAATTATTTGCTATAGAATTAAACGGAACTACCCTTCTGGTATTTATTTCATATATTAATGCTTCTAAATATTAGTAACTCTAACAGATTTGCTATCAGTAACCTCATGGTTTGTCTCGCTGTATCCCCGGTTAACTCATTGTGCAAACTTTGCGTATTACTAGGTCAGTTTAAGTTTCTTCAGTCTTTCAAAACCGTAAAGCAGGTATTGGGAACAGTAGAATGCGTCGAAAAAGGTAAATGAGACGTTTAATTTTGAAGTCGCTCTGATGAGTTGTCTGTCTTCATACTATATTCAAGTCTTTTTTAAACGCCTTCATGTCACTATTCTGTGTAAAGAACACTTAGTCCGTTGTTCAGCGTTATCTTACATTTATGGCAAAGAATAATATTTTTAAATAAATAAATACAGAGAATAAAGTAGTTAGTTTTTAGTTGCCCTTACATTGATTGTATAATGTGTAATACACTGAGTCACTTTTCCTTCTAAAGAAACATACCGAGTATTAACTCAGTCTTAAAGAAATAGTTTATCAAAGAGAGTATAGGCAGAAATACTTACATTGGGTAATTTAACAACACTTCTTCTTGGTTCGCACGTTTACTTAGTGTTTCTAAGTAACTGGAAGCTTGCCCTCATTTTTCAAACTCGTTGATCATTTAAACTTACATCTGAAGTTTCATACATACTACTTTGTATTTGGCATGACCTATATACTTTTCTCACAAGGAAATTCCTACGCCTTAGCCTTTGTTTTCACTGGTGTCTAAATAAATTCATCATGTCAAGATGAAGCAGATGCTTATCAATGATGTTGGCTGGCGGTAGCACTATATCATGAATTACTAGAAGTCAGAATTCTGTCTGTCTGGATTCAACATAGAACTTGCCACCGAAGTGCACCAGTTCGAGTTGCCACGTTCCAAATAGTACACAGAGGTAGACAAGAAGATGAGTGAAGTGAATCAATAGAGTTTGACAAGTATAAGAGTGAAACAGAATGGGTAATGGTAGAAAGGAATATGAAAGATTACAGAGACTGAAAACATCTGCGCTGGCCATTGACAACGATTTTGAGCCATGTCACCTATTGTCTCCAGCCATTGATTCCTAGAGTCCTGAGGGCATCAACCCGGAAGTCTGCATCTCCCTACCTGACTCAGTTTAACTGTCAATGATTTCGTGGATTGATGCCATGTTTTTGTTTGGCCACCGCTGGCTCTTTTTCAACCTGCACCTATATCAGCTAGTAATTCCCGTCGTGGGAGGCGATGGTTAGGCATGCGCAGCACGTGACCTAGTCATCTCAGTCTATGTAACTTTATAGCCTCGTCGATTGATTTTCCTTCTTTGCCCAACACTCTACGCCTAACGTCAACATTACTTACCTTATTAAACCACCTAATGTGAGAAGTCAGAATTCAAGGGTCTGAATTTCAACCCCCAAAAGCTGAGTGATCAACAAGCCGGCCGTGTAACATGAATGTCTAGGATTTGCTTCCTGATATATTCATGGGTGCGCGCACTGTGCAGATTCTCAAATTAGGCCGAAACAAGTAGCTAATGCTCTCTGATTTTCAATAATTTTTTAACCAGTCTCAATTCGTGACAAAATATACGAAATTAATCAAGATTCCTAAAAAACCAAAATTGTTTATGGGTTTATGTTTAAATATTATCAATAGGTATGTTTAAGCTAAGTTTTCTCAGGTAATCTAGATTACACTGGCTTAACAATGTTTAGGGTGAAACACACTGACAATACATCAGTTGAGAAGAAAGTCAATCCAAGTGACTGCAGTCCTTAGAAATGCCACTAAATTTTGGTGTACTAGACGAACGATCACGTTTTCCTACTTAAACTTTGTCGATGGTAATTAATTATTATGATGTAAAATTCCTATGAAATTTTCAAAGATCAATGGGTTTTTTCGCGCATGTAACTTTATTCATAACTACGAGGTTTACATTTAGAGAAACTGGATTGAGAATCCATATATGCTAATAATATTACGATGGGAAAAAGTGAAAATAACCACGTTGGTTGTAAATTCTACTTTCGATCTTACATTATAGACCAGTTTAGTTACACAATATGTCATTCACCAACATATCGAATCGCAAGCAAAGACACAATATAAGTGGTGGATAGTAATGAGTAAGAACTGAAACACTTGATATACATTCATGGACCATATGATAAACCAAACCCATTGTGTAACAACAAATAGTGCTGATCCTCTTCTCAAGCTGCGGTAAATGAGATTCAAACTAGCGATTCATTATTTATAGACATAGTATATAAGCAAACGACTAATGGCATATTAGTACACACTTGCATACACATAAGTAACAATTAGTAAGGATCATGTATAACTTCTAAATAAATTATTCCTACAATGAAATATACACTTTAATCAAGGTCAACTAAACACAGGCCGATATCATGGTTAACGAACATCTCAAATTACAGGTATACTGAAAATTTCGAAGTGAATTTAAAATAAAATTCATTCTATATGACCTTATGTCCCAGTTTTTTCTATAAATGTAAAGTTAAATTAGTCAAAATGGTACATTTTTATTGTTTTTATCCCCATTATCAATTTCTAGGTAAACTTGTCAAACATGTTTGTTATAAGAATGGATTCAGTTGATAAAGGTTACTTCAGGAAACAAAGGTATGAAATTAATTAGAGGATAGGAGTATAATACTCATAAAAACAAATCAAGTCAAAGAAAATGTACAGAAGCCATTGAGTTGATACATTTCCTCAACAACGATAATTAAAGTAAAAAATATTAGTCTCCCATACTACTTTTTAAGTGAAAGTACACCAACAGAATTAAACCGTACACACTTTAGCTTTTCATGATTCTCAAAAAAAAAAGATAAAATATAATAACTAATTAAAGGAAGTGGTCTGGTAATATATGCATACATCGGATGCTAGCTTATGGATTCAAGACCGTTATTAGTTTACTCACAAGAATCCAACTTTATCTCGTATCATTTACTTCGTTTCGTCCTAAAGTAAGATGCATCTTTCTATCTTTACACAAGTCATAGGATGGTAGATTTTAGCTTCAAAGGGTAACATCATTTGTTCATTGTTCGATAAAGACTGTTTTAACTCATCATTGTCCTTTTCACATTATGTCTCATTCTTCTTTACAGATGTGTTAACCAGTGTGGTGAACTAAGTAAATTCGAAATCCATCAGTGAGCTAACTTTACACGTAAAATACTTAAGTAACAATTTAAAGGACTCACTCTAATCATATTTTTGAGTTGTTCACTCTCTTGTCTTAGCTGATCTAATTCGCTCATTTTTTGATGGAGACCTAAACGGAAATAAAAAGGCAAATATTAAACAAACTACAAATTAATATATATATATATATATATATATATATATATATATATATATATATATAACCACTAGCAGTCGTGGTTAAGATAAACTGTTTTATACACCCGGTTCTCGTTATTAATTTGAATAAATAATAATGATGTGTAGAAGATCCATAATGACGGTTACTGTGGATGTGAGGTCTTGAGAAGCATGAAATAATCGAAAAATAGCACTTAAATACATTCTTTAGCATTGACTTTATAACAAAAAAGAAATCGCCAGTACAAACGCAGAATCGTTCACCAAAGCTTCAACAACTATGAATTATTATCAACCCTCATATGATAAGGGTCATTCTCAATTGCAAGCTGTCGATGATTGTGAGGACCAATTCCAAATACAAATGAGAGCAGTTAAAACAAATTTTATACGAAAAATTAAGTGCTTTCTAACTCCTTGAATGCTTTTGTGTATATCCAACTTTTTAAGGTGTTAAAATGATCCTAGTCGGAGGGAAGTAAGTAACTAGATCCTACGATTATTCAGTAATCAACAGCTATATATTTAATTGCACATTGTGAAACTAAGTCTAATTAGATAAATTAGTATGTAAAAGTAGACAGAAATGGAAATCAAGATAAGGAAACCACTATTGTGTTGGATAATGGACCATCAAATCAAACGACAACTGCATAAACATTGACCAAGTTGAAATCCAATGATACATACTTTCTGTTCTCTACCTATTCATGATACAATGTAAGGAATACATTTAATCTTAACTTTGTTGACTCGGCGAATAGTTACTCTCAATAAGGCTATTTCTAGACATGTTAGTTACAAGTGAGGAGTGAGTTATTAACCAGTAGGATGAAAAAACTTGTCCACGAAGATGTAGAAAATATTGAAAAATGCAATGGATATTTGAGTGCAGTTATAGCAAACGAATAACTAAACTAATCATGCTTAAGATTTAAAGAACAGCAATCACTTATACAGAATCCGAAGACATTTGTCCTGCCAGCTGTAAAAATTCTGAAACCTCACCTCTTAATTAATATTAGACATTAAAATCAGTATAGTCGTTTTATCTTTTTAGAAAGATGGACATATTCGACTGATAAAACTTTGAATGCATGGAGTGTTGCCAGATGAAATGGAAAGTGCTAAGAGAGGGTACATCTCGCACAAATATTCGTTGACAGAAGAAATTTGGTATGATTTCAAGTTCTGCAATGAATGACGTGTATTTTGAATATCTTCCAGATAAATATGTGATACTTCAATGTTAGTCGCGACACATTTACACTGTAGTCTAACTGACGATGAGACATGAATGTAAGGAAGAAGTGGAAAAACTTATATAGTTTTATTTAGAATCCTGTTAAAAGCTGGATTTGTGACTCATGAATATACACACACTTAGGTTTTTTTGGAGGATGTTCCCCTTTTTTTATGAGGTCATGAGGGCAGAATGGCACTAGATTTCGTGCTCACTCACAACATTTGGGTGGTGGGACTAAAAAACCGTGTACACGTTTGAGTAGTATGCGATAAGAAATACATACACGACGTCCTTGAAATATATTTCTATTTGGAAAAACTCCATAACATATTTCTAGAACACATGTTTCGCACATAAAAAGAGCAGCATTATAGGGCTGCCAAAATAATATGTAAGTGATGACACTTGCTGCCAACCAACACATTAATCCTAGTACTTAGTGACGAGAACGATATTGACGAAGCGAAATGATAAGACAGTCAATAGATATAATAGTGGACTATGCGAATTACGATAATTACTTTTATGGCGTTTCGTACAAATATTATAAGTGAATAATTTCTAAGTGGAAGATAACCCATAAGTGAATGAGATTATAAACTAATTCGAACATCTGCTTTTACCCATAGAGACAATAAAATTAATGCCAGTTTCTACGACGTATAAATCAAAAATCAACTACTACGTGATCAAAACAAAAACTGACGGAATTAAAAAACACGAGTTCATTTAAATAATGGTTGCTGAACATCTAACAGCTCACTAGTGAGTATAAATTGTCCAGTGACTACAGGAAAGGAAAACGTTGACTATTTCACTGGGTTGGGAATTTTAGCCCGAATGAACCCAAGTTCGGTTTATGAAAGGTTTAATTACCTCGTGCCGAATTGAGCCTTTGCAGAGACAGGTAGCTATGAGAGATACTATACAGAGATTCACCGTCTTACAGTGGAGAGTCACACTTTAGTCACTACTCTAAGATAACAAGAACAGTAATCAAAACGGTAATAAAATAAGTTCAAATGATTTCCAGTTTTCCTTAAACTTCAAATACTTCCTGCTCTATACTTATTATTTAGTACACCGTTGATGCTACTTTTTACTAAAAACATTCGTCATTCCTGTGTATTTTCGATTGCTTTTTATGGCAGATGACGACCCAAAAAAAGTTAGCAGTTTGTTACCAAGATATAACAAACTATACCGAAATAGGAAGTTTCTGTATAACTGTATTTCTTCAATACAAACTTTAGTATTCCCCATGAACACTATGTAAATAAGATACTCAGACACAATAGTAACAGTATGTACGTTTGCAATGGACGTGTATACTATGAAATATTATTTTAGAGATTAATATTGCCAAAAATGAGTTTCAACTGGAAACTACTGAAAAACAGTGAGCACTGAATAGCTACTTTCACTTATTTCAAGATGTATTAGGTATATGCACTAAACAACCGAACCAAGTACTGTTAATGTTCACATAAACTGAAAGTGTAACTCACCACAACGTACAACTCATATCAACTGTTTATTTTACTCATAAAACAATACTCATCACCACTGTGAACAACTCAACCTAAAAATTCGAGGCATACAAGTACAGGCCAACCTATTTCAGATAGCATAATCTCATAATGAGCATACAGGTAAGTTAATAATCCAAATATTACAAGACGATAAACGCATCTAAATTATATACCCATAGGAATACAGGCTCATGACCCACCCAACTTTATTGTCAACCAGAATCTGATTAGATTTCATGAATTACCGTTTCCAAATAAACCAACATATACGAGGATAGAAAAATAATTTCAATTATGTCTGAAGTGGACCTACAACACTAACTCTCAGGAAAAAAGAGATACATGGGATTGAGAAATAAACTCAAAAAATATAGTTTCGTGTAGTAAGCTATAACCCACGACAATTATGATAGGGCATGCTCAAACATATGACTGTTTGGTCAGAAGCTAAGCACTTAAGTTTAGCAGCCACGATTCTACTGTTGAAAATGCAAACAGTTTGCAATCAGTCCTTAGATATAGTAATTTAATGATGTGGCTCATTAGGTTACGTACCCCGCTTTCAGTCTATTGATGGAGGGTTCCGAAACTTTTATAAGCTAGTTAGGGGTTTAATTTTATACACTTACACAATAATTGTGTCTAGGCCTTGTACATCAAAAAAGTGCACGGTGATTAGGTCACACAACCATACTGTCATCAAGTGACTTGATATACTTATCTGACACCAAAATAAACACTGATGAAACATACATACAGTTTGAAAAAGTGGATTTTAAGTTAATCTACTGATCCTAACTAGGAATCAGATACCTAACAAACTAAGTAGTAATATGCTAGACTGCATTTTACTAATCACGTAAAGTTTGAAAATTTGAAATCCTCAATTTAGAAAACAAAAAGTTGACCGGGATATTTTTAAGTGCTTGTCGTTACTAATTTGTACTGATACTTTAGGTTTCTCTTTCCACTAAACATGGAGCACAGACATGCATGTAACTAAACGAGCATATGCAGTTTTGGGTTAGCTAAGTTTCCAACGTTAGACAGTGCACAAGAGTACAGCATTTTAAGTTGCCACACTCCAAAATGCACACGGAGAAAAACTCAAAGAACTATTACGAGTACAAACCCAGAAGGCAAAAAACAACTGCATGGAGAAACTCCAGAACTTAACCGATTTAGGAGAATACAAAGAGTGAATGCATCTGCGTCACTGACAGTCACAAGTCATTGTTATTTAAAGCCTAGAGGATCCCGATCAAGCAGTTATCTAACGTGGTTTAGCTAACACCAACACACCCCACCCGCCAAGATCGATGTCACTAAACAACCTTGCCGTTTAACTACGAATCTATACGACGTGCCGCTGTAATAGGCATGCAACCCAGCTATAACACAGTACTTATTCACAGGTCAAAAGTTTTAGTCACTTGGGAGTTCTTCCGTAAGTGTATAAACGATTTTTGACTACGTGGCAACAGAGACTGAGATCTCGTTCTTTTAACTGTTGCATACCATGTCAGCTGTAAGGATAGACTATTTGTAAGCCGATGTAGGAAATTAGATCAGCTGTGGCGCACTGGTCCCAAAGGCTGGTATCAGCGAGTGAACCTATTTTGAACCCGGCTTGCAGAAGCATATGTAGCAAGAAGCGAAAGAGCAAACATGGTTTGTAGCTAAGCATATAAGGAATCATGTTAATGCAGAAGTATTCCTTATATCATGGAAGTGACCTATTATGCTCAGGTGGTAGGATAGCACAAAGTAACTGAGGTATAAATACAAAGATGTCCAGAAGACTGCTTCAACCTAGGGTGCCAAGTTTTAAAAAAACACTTTACAAGTATTTAAAAGAGTCGTTTATTAATGCTTTAAAAATGGGGATTCAGCAAGTAGTGTATAAAAATACTATCTCAAAAATGAACTCAGAAGATACACTTACGATGATATACTGTCCTATACAAATTATAAGGCTACAAACAACGTCATATATTATAATCCATCATTTCACTGAAGTTGACTAATTTATACAGGCTAATGGAAAACCGGCAAAATGTGAAATACAGAGTATAAAAACAGGAAATGAACACATACTCCGAGAGAGAGATGATTACTGTCGTCCGCAAAACATTCCCAAGCCTACAAGAATTATAAA